CTGCCTAATATGTGTAGTGATAACCAACATGTCCTCAACCTGACCTTTAGCCATCACAAGACTGAAAATACAACTCCATCAGTGACCCGGGCACCAGCAAAATGCCATCTTTATAATTTCCCCCTCTTTTTCAACTGATGACAGGCAGAAGACTAGTTCTTGTGCTGAATCATCCTGATGAAAGCCAATCAGATAGATGCCAGTTTCTACTTTAAAAGACCCCTACCCAGGACTTGGGTGGTCACCTTGAAGACACGAGTCCAGTGTGCTTCTTCTTTTATTTCTGGCCATTATGTCTCTCTGTAGCTGCACTGAGCAATTTTGGCATAGTTCACTTTCTTGTTGTGGATCCTATGTCTGACCTCTGGTTCTTGGAACTTGAGCTTATGGCCTAGCGCCTGACCTGATTGCCAACTTCCACAGCTTTGTGAGCCAACAATCCAATCTGGCATGAGTGAGGAGAATTCTTCAGACTGACATGCAAAGTACAGATGTGCCAATCTCCACAACCATATGAGAGTCATTTTCTTGATAGTTCATGAGCTCTGTGAACCATGGCAACAAATTCCAGAGTTCTGGGATGCGGAGGAGAATACTGAGGAGGGGAGAGGTGATTGATATCAGAGATGATACAGTGATACAGTATTTTAGAAAAGAGGGACAAATGAGATACCATTTACCTCCACCCTGTAGAGACCAGCTTTGTGCTGATCTTTCTAAAAGAAATTATTCATACAAGGCCTCAAAAACAAAAGACAATACCAAATAATATAAATAAACAGGACAAGATGACTCAAGCAACTGAAATAAAGGACCAGAAAAACTTCTGAGGAAGCAGGGTTAGCTGAGCTACCAGATATGGAATCTAAAAGACATATATAGTATCCTCAAAGTGATCAAAGAAAACAGATATAAAGACAAGGAAAACAGAAACAAAACTCTAGAAGAATTCAGGAAAATAATACAGAACAAAATTACAAAATAAATGGTGGCTGTGTGCCATGGAGTCAGTTCCAACTCATAGCGACCCTGTACAGGGTTTCTGAGGCTGTAATTCTTTACGGGAGCAGAACGCCTAATATTTCTCCTGCCGA